ATTTTTTATTCACATTTTAGATTAGAAAATTCAATAATGATTATTTATGAACTAATTAATTTACTTATTTTTTTTTATATAATATAATATACTTGTCTCTTTTATTAAATACATATATAATATTTATTTTAAACATGTATTATTATATTTATTTAAACATTTATGTATATATAAATACTGTACTCATTATCTCTTTGGGAGATTACAAACTTTAAATAAATTAATATATAAATACATTGTTAACAGGAAACAAAGTGCATGGGATATAGCTAATATAATATGTAAAGACATTGCAGGTACAATGAATGTAAAAAAGAAAAAAAAATTAATCCATTTATTTTCAACATTACAGTGTTAGCAGATGTATACCATACATACTATAATACTATTTAACTATGCCAAATTAAATATTTATTTAATAAATCACCATTTTTAAATTAACGCATACACAGTATTATCTATAAGTATACGAGCTATTATTTTTGTGCACGTTTAAATAAATGCTTCACACCCGAATCTTTAAGTTTCTAGAGCTGAATATATTCAGGTATTCAAACAATAAAACATTTAAATCAACGTTTGCGTGCTAATAACCATTATTATTCGGATAAAAATAGGTTAATAATGCAGAAAAACTTAATTTTTGTGATTATCAAAGCACACAATTTTTTAAACCTTAGGATATTTATTAAATCATTAAATTTAATTTCATGAAATGTTTCCGATAGACGTTGTAAATTTTTTATAATTTGTTCATGTCGAGAAATATTTATGATAGCTAATACCAATTATTTCTGTCATTAGTATTTATAGGGTCGAGCAACTATAATTACGAAATCCAACTATCAATAAAAAAAAATACGTTCAAAATTGCTAATTATCACGCGGACATTGATGGTAGAATATACAATTATTCTGGTTCCAGTTAATTAAGGTATTTCAAAAAAATAAAAAAAATAAATAAATTAAAAATCATCCGGGCATGTGAGTTTCATTTTTAAATGGTTTCAGGGATGTTACGCGGGTTCCGGTTAATTCGGGTTCAAAGCCCGTGCGTTTAGTGCGAGCATTGCGACTGAAACAACATTGTAAATTGATGACATGATGATTGGCAAGAGGTTGTGAGTTAACTGAAATGGGCCAGTTGAAATTTTAAACAGTGGTAACAATGCTGTTACGGTATTTTCTTTAAACGAATGTCAATCATAAATATTACGGGTGTGGTATAGGCAACCGAATATACAACGCTAATTTTCTCGGTACGGTAGAAACTAAATATTTAATTTACATACCAGGGTCCCATGATGTTCACACCACGACCGGCGGCGCCTGTATACAAAACGACGACAGGGGTGTATGTTTAGTTGCCTATGTTAAATCCGTCAAACATCCTTGGTGCAAAACGCAATTCGGTGTCGTAATTAGGGGTAGTAGACAAAGGAGGCAAATGCCATGGCTGGAAAATTCTTTGGGTACAACAACATTTTTAAGGATTTGATATATTTTACAATTAACTAACTTCCCATTAAAATGGTGTAAAATTTCACCAAATCATTTTATCATAAACAGTATTCCTTAAAATAATTACAAATCTAAAAATTAATTCATTACCGCCGAGTAACGGTTCGTTTGGTTTTCATTTTACAAGTAAATAGATTCCATTAACTCTATTCTCTGAAGTAGATTTCATGATACGGAGTGGACTCGTGATAAATTATTATTAAAATACATGTACTGAGATTTATGTAATTTTCGTCTCCTTTTTAGTTTGAAAAAAACCGATAAAACTGAAGTTTTATGCGGAAAAGTTAAAAAAATGATGGCAGCAGTTGTAACTATTGATGCACCAAATTTACAGCTAAATATTTTTTATAAAAAGAAATATTGTCAATGTGCATATTTTCTAGGAGCATTAACAATAACAAAATTGAATAGTACGTCTTTAAATGTTGAAATAGTATTGAAACCTTTTGCTTCAATATTATGTTTCGACATTGGTGGGGAAAAATCTGTTTCCTTTCTATAGAAAATGAAAAACTTCCTAATAATATCTTTACATGGTGTAATGAAAATATGTCAGAGTTGACCCTTATTGCTATAAAAAATTGTGTTTTACAAAAAATCATACGAAAGGACATTGATACATTATTAGTGAATTCACAGCATTATAATTAAGGCTATATTTAAAAAAAAAAAAATTAAAGATATTAAAAAATTATATAAAACATATTATAAGAAACAATAGATTAATAATTAATAATAGAAATTATTATTTAATATGTTGGTGGCAGATAAATGTATAGTAAAGCGGGTGACTAAATAAAATTTTTCTCAGGTAGAAAACTCACGTGACGCATATTTGCATATTTCATAGGACCCTAGTATGATAAATTAATTTTTGTTCCTCCAAAATCATTAATAGTATACAATATATGTATTTTAAGTTTTGATTGCCTACCTTTACACCTTGCGGTTATTTTTACGTATTATCAAATGAAAAACTATTTTTTATTTATGTCCTGCCTATAATACCATTTGAATAATACAATTTTTCTTTTAATTGCATTCATAGAGTATACAGTCTATACAAATACTGAGATACTGAGATTTACCAGTAATACAGCAATATGTCGCTGGTATGTTACAACTTATAAAAAAAAACAGTTTACATATTTTTTAGTATCTATTAAAGCATTAAAATAAATTAAAAATAATTCGAGGTCTTTTTCTTAAGGTGTTTTCAATTTTAAAATAATATTGTCATACAGATTTTAATCATACAATCTTTTGAACTGGTGTGCGCACTGTATTTTTATTTAAAATTGTATAGTTCTTCTAGGATTGAAATTTTAGGTTTCATAAAATTACTCATATTAATAGTAAAAAAAAATATTGTTTATTTTCAAAATAAACAGATTTTAAAGAAAAAATAGGAAAAATATACCAAAACTGCAATATTGTTGTTGTGAGCAATTTTTCGTTAATACATGTATTTTCCTTTGTTTTGCTGTTTTATCAAAACTTGTACCGCAATTATTATTTATGTTGATGACTATAATGTTTTACAATCGGTAAAACTGATATGTTCAATTTTTTTTTTTTTTTTTATTTTAATCTTAATTTATTTTTAATATTTTAAAGTTGATTACGAATTAATTAATAAACTGTGGAACATATAATGTAATGGGCCCTTAAATATATTGATAGACAAAAAGTGGCGACTGCTTGTTATCTAAAAGCAGTGATATTTGTAAAAGACCGTAAAAAATAATTTTGAATGAAATTCAAAGCAATATATCAAACTTTATGGTTAATGACGTTTCAGCTATTCCTTGATAACTCTAAATAGTTCTTAAACTACATTTTAGACAGCTGACAGGTACATAGAAATGAACATCAAACTTTTTTGGTTTTAGTAGAAACAAAAATCATGTTTTTTTTTAGCGGAAATGCCCACAATTGGTACATCTGATATTATTACCTTTACTGTAGAGTGAAAAATACGAAATATTATCGTTGCTATTTGAATCATTAATAATTACTATATTGAACACAACGCATATACATAATACATAGAAAAATTATAATCAATAATAGATCTTATTAATCACTTATGTTGAGTCGGCCATTGTAATTTTTAAATTAAATCTTCGAAAAACGAGGACAATTAATAATTTTTCCATAACCTTTTAAAAATTACTTTAAATTTTAATTTTACTACGAACTATTTTAAAATGAAATATTTTTAAAATAGAAATCCAATTAAAAAAAAAAAAAACAAAACTTCATTAAATCAGGTACATCCGTATGAGCCATTTATTTTCTTTTTGACTCCTCACATCCTGTTTCTTGTGTTAGGAATCGTTATGCATTTTTGTTCATTTGAATATAACTACGGAGAATTTCCCCTACATCCTTTCACAAAATTCTGTATATGACAGTACTTAAATAATCTAATTTTGCACTTAATATCTGGAGTTACCAGATGGGATGTTTCGTGAACAAATTTTATTCGGTACACAGGCAGAGAAAAAAAAGTAATCATTATTCATTATTTACAATTTTAAAATAAATACATCGTTGAAAATATGTAATTTGAATTTTTATAGCCCACGAAAAGTTTCTAGATTTTTAATGTGGCCCTTTTTAATTGATAACCTTTACTATACATTGTTATATTTATTTTTAAAGGAAACAATCTTTGTGAAACTTTTATTTCATTGTTTATACTGGGTCCTATGTACTATGTATCTATCGATTAAAAAGTGTACCTATAGAATTCTCAAATAAAAAAAAAAAAAAAATGAAAAGAAATACTCGTATATTGTATTTTTAAAATATCTATTGGTTGTAGAAAATAATAACAATCCCAGTAATTTTTTTTTTCATTTGTGTTTTAGGTTTTTATTTAAAAACAATAGATTTTTAGCTAATTATATTATAATAAAATAATGTAAAAATGTATGTACAACATTTGAATACGAGCTATATATTATAGTTATATACATCAATTTAAAAATTAATGTTTAAAATGTTTAATTTATTATAAGTAAACAAAATAATGTAACTAAATTTATTGTTAATAGTATTATTTATTGTTTAATATTCGAATGTCAATATGGTAATTGTATTAAAAAAATTCAAAGATATAAAAAAATGAATAACAAAATTTAAAAACGAGACCAAAATTTGAAGGAATATAATAATATAATCGCACTGACGTGTAAAGCAAAAAATGTACAATATTTAAATTAAAAAAAAAAAAAATTTAAATTATAATTATACACATACATACTATATATTATAATAGACATATTATTATATAATTATTTTAAGTTCGGAATCGTTCGTAATATATTATTCAAAGTCGAAAAACTATTATTAATATTTTAACATTTTTGATTAATACGTTTATGCTATCGTGTATAGTTATAATATAAAAAAAAAAAAAAAAATATATGTAAAAAAATTAGAAAGAATAATAAAAATAACTCAAAAGGACCAACAACAAAATTGTCGATACGGAATTGAGTTGCGTTTTCTATCAATTGTATGTACATAATTACGTTTTTTTTCAGTAATAATATTTGGTTTAAATGTTTAATATAATATCGTCATAATATTTTAATGTTCCTAATATAACTTATTTTCATTGTACACAATTACGGTGTAACGCAGACACGGCCTCTCCACCTGTGCTGCAGCTAAGTACATCAGAGCAGCCTGCCACGATTGTTTTCGATCGTTCGATCACGGTTTTCACGTCATTCATCCGTTTCTCGATTTCGGTTTTCGATCACGTGGCTGTCGCAGGTCATTATTGTCTGCCATCTTTCATCCGGAATCGTACGCATGTACGACACTCAAGCAGTAAGAGAACACTGACGCGCGGTACGATCCGGTACACCGGTTCGTATAACTGCCATCTACACTCAATCTAACTTATCCGAGTAACCGACACGACGAAGTTTCACTACAATAGTAACTGTACGACGCATTTCTATCGCGTTGAACGTCACGTCTTCCGACGAGACCGGGGAACGGATACGCTACCGTTACCGCGGTATCGCCGGTCGGCACGCGGGTAACAGCCGTCCGGCGTACAGCAGCTATGCAAACGGCGTGTACGCATAACCGGCGCGGTCGCGGTTACCGCCGCCACCGCCGCCACCGCCACCGCCGCCATTTCCGCCTCCACTACCTCCGCCGCCGGGGAACATGCGTCAAATGGACGACCTGTGTTCGTTTTGAAGTTGCTGTTGCTGCTGTTGCGTCTGAACGACTCGCTGCCGGCAGCTGTACGGATCGGCTGACGTCGAAGCCGCCGCACGGCCGTCGAAGAACGTATCCAGCTGTATGTCCTGCGGCTCGCAACCGTCGTCGTCTTCGTCGTCGTCGTTGTCGCCGCTGCACCCGTCGTCGCCGTCGTCCCGGTCGCCGCCGCTGCCGACGCCCCGCCCGGCCACGACGGCGCCGCCGTAGACGGAGCCCGACGCGTACGGCGGCGAATCGCCCGTACGGTATCCGTCGTTCCGGCTCCTTGACCGCGTGCAAGTGCACGTGCACACGGACGCGTTGTCGGCGGGCGAAGACGACCCTCTGCCCCGGCCGGACAAGCCTAGCGCCATCGCGCTGCCCATCGGCAGGCTGGACACGGACCCGTGCGAGGTGATCACGTCTCCTTCCAGCCGGACGGCTCCTTGGGCGGCCTGCAACATATACGGACGCGAAAAACATTATTACTGTGGTCACACGATTGGGAAGTAAACAGTTTTGTAGTAGTTGCATGATTTTCCGAAAAATACCAATTATTGTTACACGGCTATAGGAAGTAAAATTGTATAATGGTCGCGTATTTTTCCAAATGATGATAATAATATGGTGTTATAGCAGATCAAGCTTTAGAAATCTATTTTATGCGTAGCACGTCAATGATTTTAAAAATCGAAGACGATTATGTGGTAATGCTTATTTTGCTTATTTCATCGAGGTTAGGAAAAATTTCACATTTCTTCATTTTTATGCAAAATTGTGTATATGTATATTCAATTACATATATTTTAATGTTTTTTTTTAAAAAAACAGTCTTAATTTTATGAGCAACGCCTCTTAGTGTTATACGACTTTACAAATATTGAAAATATATATTTATTAATTTTATGTTTAATATATCGATAAATCTTTTCAGTTTATTGAAGTAACATCGCTAACCGACAACAGCCAGTTCTCTACACAACGGATTTTCCATTTTCATTTTTCGTTTATTTCATAAAACAATTTTAATTTTTGTAATATACCAACAACTAACAGAGCAATAATATTAAGAGATTATAATTAATGTATAGGTACCTACATATTTTGGAGTTTTGAAATTTTGTTTTACATTAATTCATTATATTAACGTTTTAGTTACTAAATTATAGAGCTTTTGTGTATATTTTGTTTATTAGAGTTCCTAAAACTTCTGAGCCTTAAATATTATTAATAATGACGTACGTGTGTCGAAAATGCAGGTAAAAAAATAGACATCGTTGGATTACGAAAAATGAACTACGAATTTTTCACAAATTATTGATTTTAAAATTTGCATATAGATAAATATTGAATAAAAATCTATCTAGTTTATCTTGGTACTCGGAAAATATAACGATTATAAAAATTAGTAGTTTGATGATTATATTTTTTCCAATATAATATAGTTTTTGGATTACTGTTTTTTTTTTTTAAAATTGTAACGGTTATCAAGTACCAAGATGAACTGGATGGGTTAGATCATGTTAATATTATTTGTAAGCCAAGTAATAATAGATGGGACGTATTACATATTTGGTGATTTATCATAAGTAAAAATTTTTTCAGTATATATTTTTGTTTTAATTAAGATTTTTAAAATTTTTCAATACACTATCATATCAGTATTTAAGATTATTTTGTTTTATCGATTTCCGAAAAATACGTAAGCTTTACGCCATCTTCAAGTATAAAAAATCGAAAATCGGATTTCTAGAAATTCCTAGTAATAATATAGTTGTGTCTTACTTTTTCCGAAGAAATATCATTCAAATCCGTTCAGCAAATAACTCAAGTAAAGATTATCTAAGGTTTTTATTTAATTTGATCATGCGAAAAAAGCAATCGACGTAGCTGCTTTCCTAAAGTCATTATTCCGTGAACATAATATTCTATTTTTAACGCACGGTACCGAAAAAATCAGTTAGGTTAACTTTGGATAGATTCATGTCTTCACCAGTAAGGCAGTGTGACGTTACGTCAGCAATATTTGGTGTACAAATGATGATTTTTTTTTCATGCTTTCTCTCGACTTTGTAACTCACTATGTCAATATATATTATCATTATTATGACAAAAAATAATTCCTCTTGCTCACGATACCGTATTATGTAATTAGCCGGGTGATCACCCTTACTCTAACCAACCTTAGATCATCCCTTAAATATGTAATTTCGCCTACCCGCTGAAATCTTTTCCAACGGCTGTATATACGCATAGATGACCAGAGTAATTATTTAGGTACTTATGTAATAATCCGATTCACGTTTTTCACATAAGAATTTATTACAACGTATAGATGATAGTTAATAATACTAATACATATATATATTTTTTCGTTGTATATCTCGACATAACCGGATTGGTAGGTGTGTGTTGTTATATACACGGAGGGTGGAGTTGCGTAATCCATGGTTCGTCAACTAAAACGCGCTCGCCAAAGTCGACGTATAACTTTGCGCTGAGCCATCCTGCTAATTAAATGTCACACGTGACATTCACGTGTACACAACACGTACACACACACACACACACACACACACACATATATATATATATTTGTATGGTATAATATTATACACGACATAAAATCGGGGTACGCGGTGTGTGAAATGATGATGGATGTGCATTTCGATTAACTAAATACCACGCTTTACTTTAATAAATTTCAGTTGGTCTACTATGTAATTATCAATGCGATTAAGATTTTTCAAAAAAATTCCATGTGAAATAACGCACTATTGAATAGCAATAACACTAATAACTAATAAGTTATCACTATTTGTTTTGTCCGGATTTGATTATTTGGTATTTTTTCTCAACTGATAACAATACATTTCTATATGCCGCATTAAAGGAAGACTGTTTCTGTAATATATTATACTTAAAACTAATATTATGCAATTAACATTTCGTTATGTAAGGAGCAATATTTAGGCAAAATAAGTACTTTAACGTGTAGGAGAACATTTTGAAGTATTCTATTAACTTCATACAATATTATAGATATTATGATATATTTTGTACATGATTATTACAAATTTACAAACAATAATAATATATATTATATAATGTACCTGCATGGATGTACCTAGCTATTACTTGTTACGAAATAGGTATTCACGATAATATTGGAATTGTTGACTACGATTATCGGTTTTAAAGAAAACTGTCAAGTATATGCAGTTCAATAGGATAACGAATTTTTAATTTTCATTAACGATGAGCAAATAGTACAAATGTACGAATTTTAATATTTTTTACACCATACTCATATTATAGTACAAAAGAAATTTTTTTTCGTTTTTGTTTCTGTGTCATATCGTTTATTTCGATATAAATGGTATCAATAACAATATGTTTGGAAATGGTAATATAATTTTAAAAAAACCCACACGTTATATCGTTATATTATAATATATATGTAGTTGTAAGTCAGTGTTTTCCGTATGCAAAAAAACAATCTAAATATTGTTGTTTTCTTATCACTTGAAAAATATATGAATACGTTTCATAGGGCTAATATTATTTATGCGAAAAAAGAGAGTAACTGTTATATGTAATTGTATACCTACATAAAATATAATAATATACATAATATGCTTCGTTTAAATCATCGAATTTTGTCCAAGTTTAAATTGCAAATACAGTCAAATTCGCTTATTACGATCTTCAAGGGACCAAGAGAATCTGATAATTATAACCGAACTTCGTTATATCCAGATTATAAAATGTAACAACACATACAATATAAAACCAACCAAATACATTGCTTGGAATCGTTTTATACGGAATATCGTTGTAAACGGCATCGTTATAAGCGAATTCAACTGTATTTATAAAAACATTGTGCCTAGTATGTACCTATTTTTGATATTTTTTTAACAGTTATATAAATAATTTATGAGAAAATTTGTATTTCATTGTTGAGCTTTAATACAGAGCAATAATTTTTTATCAACCTAAAAAAAATATTTAATTTCTTTATGACTATAATATATATCTTAAAAAGAGTTGAAGTTTACCATGTTTAAATTATACTATTACGAGCTATTATAAATATTTTATGAAAATTTCATGTATTTACGGTAATTTGTTTTTGAGTTATATCGTAAAAACAAAATTGATTTAGCGTGAAAAATCTTATTTATTCTTATTTTTTTTTCCTATTATTTTGAAAAATATTGCGAATTTTTAATTTTGACCACTGAAAAGTATTATTCAAGTTCTTTAACAAAAACTACACTTAATGTAAAGGATATATTATTCATGCAGTGTGGGTTAAACCGCTAAATGTGACTATAGGCATAATAATATGGTGAATGATATACAATTATCGTTATACACACTCGATATACGATAATCATAATATTATCATGTATATACATTTGTGTATACGCTAATAATCATAACAATACAGCAATTATTTTGTGATATTATTAAGCCTTTCAGGTGGTTTTAGTCTTACACCGTAAAATTTTGGCGAATTTCCTCAAATAGAGAAATTGCGGGCGTTATATTGTGTTATACGTATATACATAATAATAACAGTAATAATAATTATTATTATTATCCTCCCCTGCGATCCGCAAGGGAGGATACAAGCCGCTTCCCAAAACTGTTCCTTGCAAGCCGTATATAATATATTGTTCATGTATTACCTATAATATAATTCATGGGTATACGCGTGTGGCTGTTATATATAATATATGTATACGGTACATTATCGTTTCTGGATTCTTTGAGCGGTGCGTGGTGTTATAATGCGTATTAGGTACACAATATAATATGTATTGACTATTTGTACACCATCATCACCGTATACGTTGGCGCTCTTCGCCACAGACTTTCGTTCGTTCGCGTACAATTTTTTTTCTATTTCTTATATTCTTCACATTATAATATTATATACGAGCCCTGTGCTTATGCGTGCCGTACACGCAATTTATTTTCTTTCATCGATACTATACAACATATAATAATATACTACATATTATATTATATACGTACAGTAATATAGTATAATGTAAGACGCCACAGCGCCAATGAGAAATCGATTATAGCGCCGGGGCGTCCGAATTTTCGTTCGATTGAACAACAACAAGGACAAAAAACTTCCTCGCCTATCCCTTACCCTATCAAAATCCCTAAGCTATAACATTCATGCATACCTTATATAATATATATATATATATAAGATTATTATGATATATAACAGTGAAATGCGTGCACAATAATGCGTGTAACGTATTATTATGATATAGGACGTATTTATGACTAAACATTCTTATATAAAATCTTAAATTAAAAAAATAGAGTAAAAATTTTTCCTTGTCTTAAATTGAAAAGATGAAGTTACAATTACTCGAGTTTGAATACAGGAATTAAATACGCGAATTTAATCCACTTCTTCCTTATC